AAGGTGCTGCACAGGGTGCCCCAGCCTGAGCTAGTGCACGCCTGGAGGAAGCACGGATCCCAGCCCCAGCTGGCATCCATGGTGGATGCTGCTTGGCAAAATTCATCTCCGAGCTGTGCCTCTGGTTTTCCCATTCCCACGAGCTGCCATTCCTGGCTGCTGGTGAGTCAGTCCTTGGCTATGCCATGCTCTGCTGCTCTGCATAAAGCCTCAGTCATCTGAGGAGCCCTTAATATAGCGGTTGCAGATTGCAGACGGTGTTCCCCTTCCACACCGAGATGGAGCCAAGACTTTCTTAAAGGTTTGTTTATGCAGAAATCATCCAATCCATAAAGAGAGATTCCCTCACTTGCTACTTTCTTCCCTACACAAGAAGCACTCTGTCCTGCTCTCTTGTCCCTCTCCCACCCCCGGGTGACTCATTCCCCTTCACCAACCCAACTCAATCTCAGCAGGGGCAGGACTTGGCCACAGGATTCCCACTCCCTGTCTTCCTGCTGTTGGAGAAACGTGACCAGCCCAGCAAGAGCTGATCAGATATGTCCTTAGCCCACCGGCTCTGGATCAGGCTGCTGGTGGGAGCTGGCAAGCATTGGATGGAGTGTGGCTTGGGATCCTGGTGGTGCAGGTGAGTGCTGATCCCCTTTACACTCCCCTGGCCCTGGGTTTGCCTGGAGCCAGAAGAGCCGCCTGATCAACGTTCAGCTGAGCCTGAAACACTAAATACCTTGGCTGTCACAAGTGAGCTCACCCATCAACTCCACCATGAGGCTTGGGCCCAGTGCAGGAACTAGAAGGTGGATTCAGTTCAAAGTTAAGCAATCAGCAATTTATCCCATCACTTGGAAACTCTTCTGGTGCTCGCCTACACTCTCAGACTACACCTCTGAGCATGCTGCATTCCCAGGCTGGCAGCTGGGTTTGTGTCACAGCCTCTTTGCTGGAGTTCAGGATTAACTGCTGGTCCAGCAAAGTCCTTCTGCCCAGGTAGACCCTGCTGAGATCCTGAAACGGGTCCTGTACAAGAGGTTTCAGACACATGTTGTCAGTCATGGGGTGGGTGTGCAGTCCTGCTGTCACCATACCCCAGTATGTGCAGCTTATGTAGACAAAATGGCATAAATCTTTAGGAAAGACTTGTCATACAGGCACAGAGGGAAACGTGGGATTAAGCTGGCTCAGCTGTTGGAGAAGGCAAAGCCCTGGCTCAGGAGCAGAGGACAGTGAGCTTTGGAGTGAATTCAGTCTGTTTATGCAAACTTCAGATTCAAAGCCAAACCCTGCAGTGAAGCCAATCCTGGAGGAGCTGCCATCACACACCACTGGACACAGGAGGGCTGCCCTGGTCCTCTGACTGCCCAGAGCCTCCTGGATCTGGAGAAGGTCTCAGCAGAAGGACTGGATGTAAGGATGGGGGGGAGGAAGGAACAGCAGTATTTGCTCTCTCTGCCGTGCTCCTCCCAGGCTGCCGCTTTTATCAGGGCTCCTGACAGCCCGTTCAGCTGGAGTGCACTCACTCCGAAGATGTAATCTGGGGTTATGTAAGACTCCGGTACCTTTGGTGACTCACACGCCGTGTCCTGACACGCCGCTCCACAGCCGTTGTGTAACCTCACTGGGGAAGCACGCGGCGGCTGGCCCCACGCATGGGATGGGGACCTGCAGTGGGAATGGGGAGGTGGGATGGGGATGGGGTCTACCCTCCTGTGGAAAGGTAATCCTGCTGAAGGACCATCCTGTCCCTCTGGCATAGGGAGAGGAAGGAGTCCTGCCATGGGGGCAGCCCTGAAATGAGCAGGGCTGCCAGGGAAGTGAAAACTGTGAGATTCACTGGACTAGAAAATCTCTGGTTGGCATCCAAACCTGTGGTTTCCCCCGTTGTGTGCTTGCAGTGAACGGTCTATAACTGCTTGTAATGAAAGGGCTTATGGTAGGAAGGGAGGAAAGGGGATATCTTCTTCCTTTGGGCAGGAAGCCTTTCTCTGGCAGTGATGGAGCCCGAGTTTTCTCTTATTTAAGCAGGGAAACATCAAGAAGGACTTTGCTGCTGGCAGTGGAGATACCAGCTGTCTCCCTGGCAGAAAAGGAGGATCAGGCCTTTGAGGAGCTACTGAAGCTCACAGCAGATGTGTAGGGTAAGAGGCAGTCCACCTTGCAGCAGCAAGAGGTGCAGGCATCCACGGGCAGCAGCAGCAAGGGAAGCAGGGCATTGTTCCCAGCACTGGAGTGGAGATAGAACAGCCCAAGGGGGTCAGGACGGATAAACCCATAGGGACAAATGGCACATGGCTCTGCCTCTGCACGATGCTGCAAAGCGGATTGTGTGTGCCTGTGTACTGGGGGGGGGAGCCTGCCCTGGGCCCCTTGCAGCTGTGTCCAGTCAGCCACGTTTCACCATCTCCTGGTGCAGCACCACCAGCAGCACACAGCATGGCAGGGCCAGCAGGGCAGCAAGGACCTCATGCTGGCCTCATCTTCCTCCTTCATTCACAGTCTGCAGCTGCTGGCAGGACACAAGTCCACCTGGGCAGCTGTACCTTGGCTTTTTGTGTTGCTGTGGTGTGGGTTGGGTTGTTTTATCCCCCTGCCCGTATTCTGCATTTCATCGTGTGTGCCACAAATGGAGCTCAAACATCTCAGCTCCCCAGGGCAGCAGATCTGCTGTAGATGTGGGTATGCTGGAGGAAGACTAAGCATTGGCAAGTCAGCAGCAAATGTCTGCTCCTCCGCACCCGCACTGCCAAGGAGGTTTGGACCTCATCCTGCCTATCACTCATGTCTCCCAAAGAAATCAGAAGCGCTGAACAGCATGCTGCAGGTTTGGGTGCTGCCTTGTGACTTCAGGGCCAGCGCATCAGTTGGGACAAGTCAGGGAAGCTGCACTGAAGGCAGACCAGATGAGCAGATATTTCCCTGACATCTTGCCAGCCCTTGATTTCTGTCCAGGACTCCACACCTACCCAGCCTACCTTCTGGTGTAGAAGTACTGGGTTTGAATCATGCAGAGGATCTGTAGCCTGGCTCATTAACTCAACTGAAGGATAAAGTTAATGAAACTCCTCTTGCTCAGCCAAGGATCTGGTTCCCAATGTTTAGTAGCTCTGCAATGGAGTGATAACATAGTGGGGCTGAGTCTTGGCTTCATGACTCCACTTTTAGACTGATGTAAAATTACAGTAACACAGACACCAGACTTATTATTTATGATACAGTTATACATTACACAGTTTTGCCCCCTCAGTCCACAGCTAGAAATCACCACTTCCCACATGTGGCATATGCCATGCTTTATTTTTAAAAAATTACTTCCATCTTTCTGAAGAGTAAAAGCAGACCAAAAAAGATGAATTAATGTGACCTATTGCTAAGTTATTAGATGCTTACAAGCCCACAAGACCATGCAAGCATTCAGCTTCCCAGGAAAGAGGGCAACTGAAACACGTTTCACAGCCAGATCCTTGCCTGGTGTACAGCAGCAGACACTGGCTCCAGCAGAAGTGTTAGCTCCTCGCTGCAGAGTCAGCTCCCAGAAGTGGCTCACCACGCAGCCTGGCACTGGTGACGCTGCAGGAGGCCCATGGAAAGCAGGCCAGTTATTTTCCCAGATTAATAAGGCAGAGCGATCCACAAGTTGTGTTCTGATGGCTACAACCACACAGCCGCTGTGAACGGAGTCTGCAGGAACATGCCCTGCCTTTGCCTGCCCCGTGGGCTGCTCGGGCACAGGATGTCTCCGCAGGCTGGCAGTGCTGCCTGCTGTCACACAGCCCGAGTTTCTCACTGTACAACCTGTCTCAGACACTTGTGCTTTGCCAGGCTCCAATCTCTACCCGGGCTGGCCCCCGATGTGCTGGCTGGCTGCTGTGCTGGGAAAGCCCGGGCAAGGGTGGGGCTGGGGAATTACATGTTTTGTGTTTGACCTCTTGGGAAAGCTCTGGAGTGGACATAGAGATGTGGGTATCCAGAGGGAATAGGAGGGGAGAAAGTCTGATACAGGGGTGAGGTGGATGAGGAGGGACAAGCTGGGATAAGGAGCTGCGGGAGAGGAAGAGATGGACCTCAAAGGACAAAAGGAGGAAAGAGGAGTCCCTTCTCCCCATTAGGACCTGTCCCTTCAATGCCTTGGATGAACAAAATATTCTCATCTGCATTTCTCGTCTGTCATCAGCTTGAACCTTCTGGCCCTACACCTCACGTCAGTTGGCACATTGCAGATGGCAGCCTTCCACTGTGACGAACACTCTGTTAGTTCCCATTACGCTTTTGCCTGGAGGCCTTGGCACTCTGGCTCTGCTGCTGGCCCCATCACCAAAGCATGGTGGGCCTGCTGGGAACTTCCAGTCCATTCTCTGCGACCCAGGAGTGCCCATGCAGGGGTAAACACAGGTGCAAGCGACCTTCAGAAAGCTGAGGTTACAGAGCTGCCAGTTTAGAAGATGCCAAAGGAAGGCTGCCTCTGCATGTTCCTCCTTTCACTGTTTCCTCAAGGCTCCCCAGCCAGGCTCACCTCCACACACAAAATGGACGGTTCCCACCTGCAGAACAACAGCTAAGCTAAAATCCTGCTTGGAAACATACCTGAAGCAGCCCTGTGCGAGCCCGAAAGCAGTTTAACTGCTGAGCTTAGGGGAAATTAGCCTGCTCTGCTGCACTAATGCATTTATATTGTTCCTGGTAGAGGTACCTGCCCTAACCCAGCTAACCACACAGCACAGTCCTGCAAACAGCTCCAGAACTTTCCCTCCTCCACACTGGCCAGCATGTGGGCTCTGTGCTGCCTTTACAGCTGATTGCACACAATTCCCTTGGACTTCAGCATCCAGGAGTTTTGTAGTCCCTCCACCTCCAGTGGCAAAGCAGATTCCTCTCCCACACACAGCTCTGTGTCCCCTTACAGAAGCAGGTCCTGTATGCCAGAGCTTCTGAAAAGGCAGCGTGCAGTTCTGTAATTAAAGCTTGGATCCTAATGTGCAAGTACAGAGAAGCCCCATGCCAGCTGCTTTACTTTGTAGCTTGAATAGCATTTCTTTAATGTAGGTGGGTTGTTTTTTGATTGGTTTTTTTCATGCATGCGAGAAACATAAATAGGACTTCATCTTTTATGCATTTTCTTGTGCCTTCCAGACCTAGAGCTCCTCTCCATCATTTGACATCGTTCCTTGTTTTGAAAGATGCACTTACTAGAAAAAGATAGAAGAGTGTTTTCATTACAGTACATCACATTCACATACATAAAATATTAAAACAATATAGCTGAACCCAAACCCAATGCAGTACTTTAGAAAATAGTACTAGTCTTTTCCCCAGGTTCATGTCAGAGATCGTGATAAATCCTTCTCTGTTATACATTACAGCCTCCATGGATTCCCAAGGGGAGTGCGCATCACACTTACAGAATCCAGAAGGGTCTGTTATGAAAGGAGCAGAAGGTGGTTTCCTGTTTATATGTATACACATGCAGATGGACATAAACATAAGGGTGTGCATGTATGGATGCTGATGCAGCATTTGTCAGTGCTGCTGAGGTGCATTGGCTGTGCCTGCCCCACACTGCTACCTGCTGAAGACAGGGTGCATTTCCCAAGTCCTCTCCCAGTCTGTGCTGGGTCTTCCTAAAAAAAAGCCCTGGGAGAGATCCTGAAGTCCAAGGGCACAATGCCATAGAGGGGGTGATGGGACATGGCAGTGGATGGCAAACATGGAGCAAACACAGCCCTATGGAAACAACATGTTTTTATTAAATGGGCAGACCCACTAAAGGAGCCCTTTAATGTCCTCCAAACATCCCCACTCAACTCACTGCAGTCAGACTTCAGCCCCAGGTGAGCCAGGATTGTTCTCAGGTGGTTCTGAGAGGTGACGCTTGAGACCTTCAGCAATGTCCCTTGGGGACAAGTGCCATAGCAAGTGATCTGCTTCACATAAGGAGGCAGAACGGTTTTCCTCCTCTTAAAGGGTGTCACAGGGGCTCATCCCCCCAGTAACCAACTGGAATATTCACTGAAGCCAGGTAGTATTAGGAAACAAGAACTCAAACCATCCAGGACCATACGCAGCATGGGACCTAATATGGCCTCTCAGTTCCCTCCTCCTTTTGAGAGGAGCAGGTTTACTGAAAAGGAAAATTCTCCAGGGTTAGCGCCTACATGTTTTTCCATCCACTAGCTCTTTCCCCATCCCTCAGATCCGTATGTTATTCCAGTCTCTCAGATCTTCCTTTGTGTCCCACATATGTGTTACCTTCCTCCTCTCCCCTGGGAAGCTTCCCGCTGCCCACTTAGTCGCAGCCCCTCTGACGCCATCCCTCCTTTCCCCTCCCAGGGCAAGGCAGCATGAAAGAGCACTGCTCCCATCTCCCTGCTTACTGGGGTTGAAACCATTTCACCTGCTAATGTAGAAACGGTAAAGTGCCGTCAGTGAAAGCTCTCTGAGAAATATTAGCAAGCATTTACTGAATCTTTAAAAGTCTACCCAGTCCTCTCCATTCCACTGGTTTCCAGAAGGAGGAACCTTGCCTTTGTTCAGTAAGTCTTAGAGAACTTTTATATCAAAAATTATTGGTGGCTTTTTTCCATGGGTATTTTGCTCCTCTTTTTTTTTTTTTCATCTTGCTACTGAAAAAAGGGGTAAATTAAAAAGGTTCCTAAAGCACCCAAAGTCATACCCCTATGCTTCTCTTCAATATTATTTGCTTTTCAGAATCAGATTGAAAACTCTGTAATTACTGTGAGAGGTTTAAAACAAATTTAAAGGGCTGACCCCTCAAAGTCCAGGTGGCTCAAGCTTCAGTAGCCATGAAAGAAAGTAAAACCAGAACCAACAGAAACTATGAAAAGCCTCTTATGGGCAGAAAATCTTAATGGGAGAAATGCTAAAGGTGTTAATAGTACCAACGCCAGATTCAGCATCTCCCGTAAATGGGGAAGGGAATGTTACTTTTGGCAACGATGGGAATTATTTATTAGCTCAATGAGATTCTGTATTTGCAAGGGTATATCCTGTCAGCAAGACTTAGCCCTCTGTTGCCAGACGAGTAAAGAGGCCAGGGAGAAGGTAGATGGCAAAATGGGTATTCAGGGAGGGCAGGGCAGGGGTGCAGAGCCCCCAGTGCAGCACTACCCAGGCAAGCGGGTTCCTATGGCTGCCTGCCTGCTCTGCTCCCAGCAGTGGCCAGTCCAACGCTGTTTCTATGAATAGTGAAAAGAGACTTTGGTCCAACAAGTCCCAGGAGAAGTATCATGCTAGAAAAGGGAAGGGCAAAAGGGAGGAAAAGCAATGAATGGTAATTAATGTCATATAGCTGTAGTTAGACATTTCCTTGTAAACCATGGGACGCTGTATTAACATGTGGAAAGACAATTGATGCAAGCTATTCAAAGGGAAACTCCATGATACATGGAGAAAGCTCTTCAGCTGTATGCCGCAGGCTGAATTTTCTCAACAGAGAATACCTGTACCATGCACAGACTTCACTGCCAAAAGGGACTATTCATTTATTAGGTTTATATAGCACTGGGCATTTCTAACAAGTCATACAAAGCTATGTGATTCATACAGACCACAGACCTAATCCCAAAATGTTTATTGTCATCAGTGAATAAAAGGCTAAGCTGTGACTGGCACTCTTGGCTGGGAAGAAGCAGAGACAGTGCCCTTACTATATTGGGATGAAGATGTCCTGTTCCTCCAAAGCCTGAGCTGGGAGCATGTCCTCCCTGCAGGGAATGCCAGCCAGGCTCATGCAGAGGCAGCCAGGAGGAAGCTGGTGCTTACCAGCAATTTCAGATACCTATTCAGATAAACACAGATGCAGACGAACACACGAGTTAAGGCTATTACCTGTGTGTTTGAAATTAAATTAATACAGTCCTAATTCCTGCTTTTTATTTTGGTAATATTAAAATACTCCTAATTAATCTTGTTCTTCCACTCATCTTGAAAACTGCCCTATGCTTAGATGATAAAACATCCTCTCCCTCTCCAAAAGTGTTATGGTCTTATGCAATGTGTATTCTAATCAGTACTGGGGCAACAGCATTAAGGTGGAATTTTTCCAATTCAATTTGAAGCTACTGACCTTCTAGCTGATATTTTCAAACCAGCAACTCATCTTTTGCTATTAAACAAGCCCAACTATGTTATCTATTTGTCATCTCCTTGATGTTCTGAAACAAACAAAAAATGATGATATTAGTACACATCTACAGTAACAGTAATAAGTATGGCACTGTTTGTCCATCTCCTGGGTTTTAGTCATTGTTTGAGGAGAATGGAAGGCAAAAGGTAGTTTACCACTAGAACAAAGGTGCTGTGAATCACCATGCTGGGAACCATACATGAAACCCATCTGTGCTGTGCATCCCTCTGGCTGGTCTTCTATAAATCCTCTTTTTTAAATCATCCATGCATTTAAAAAAGGCCCTTTGTAGGCATAGTTGTGTAGTTTGTGATACAGAAACTCAAAATAAACATGCAAATGATTTTGCAAAGGTAGTTTATGATTGTAGAGTTAATTCATTGTTCAAAACCCCTTTTTTCAGTAGCATGTCTAATGCAGCTGGCTTTGTCAGGCTGATTAGCAAGGATGTTTTCAATGCACAAGCACAGTATGACAGCTGTGTGTGATCCCCAGTAACTTTCTGGGCAGTGGGGAAGCTCTGAAGGAAAGCAGATGTTGGGAAAGATTTTGGAAAAGGTAGAGAAAAAGAACGAAGTATTTATAGGCTTGTCTCCTGACACGAGTCCCAGCAGTAAAATGGAATGACTCATATGGATCTAGATTAACAAAGAATTAAAGGAGGGAGATATAATTAATGCCAATCAACAGGAGTTTATGGGAAGAGACCCTTTCAAACTGACTTGTTATCTTTCACCAAGGAGATTACAAGATCAAGTGATACATGCAATGAAGCTGATGTAAAACTCCTGGACTTCTTTAAGGCCTTCAATTTGTTGCAGCAGGACATGTTGATTAAGAAACTGGAACAATATAAACCCAACGTGACACATATAAAATGGTTGTCGAACTAATCATCCCTGACACAGCACTACAGTGCTCCTGGAAGGGCGCCTGGGCACCGCGGGCAGCAGGTACTGCTCCCTGGGTGCCACCCTGGGATGTTTGGCTCAGTGTCTCCTTTTATCCATCCCTCAGTCCTTGCACCCCTTCCCTTTGCCTGCTGGCAGATCCTGGTGATCAGCTGGGTTTGGTTCAAGTTGCTTATTTTCCCTCTAGCCCTTTCCCACCCTGGGATGGCTAGTGCATGGTGTGAGTTTTCAAGGTGGCATCTACTTATCAAGAATTTTTTAACAGAAAAAAATGTTCCTATAACCCTGCTCAGTCAGGTATTTATCTGCGCCAACTGGTATTTTATCAAGGACTATCAACAAACAAAAGGATTACTACTGAGTTCTGCAGATGGCACCAAGACAGAGAGAAGAGGTGAAAATTAAAGAACGTGCCACTGGTGTGGAGCAAACCAGTTTGCAAAATTGCATTTGGGTAAGCAATGCACGTTTGAGTATGACCCAGGTTAAAAATTATACTATAGGAATAATAAACCATAGTTTTAGAATAGGGGATATGTGCATGGAGGCGAAGGGTCGGAGATACTGAAAAAGGCAAGAGAGTCACAGCTGAACCAGAGTTTCCAGACTTCAGAGATACAGTATCTGAGAGGAATAATCAGCTTCTTAAATGTGGCACCAGTAAAATAAGCTGTATCACGTCTGTATTTGGGTTTAGTGTTATTGCAGCTGGAATACCATGTTCATGTCTGGCACAGGCAGCACTGACCAACAGATAAGGTGGAGATGAAATAGAGAAAATGTGCACACTTGTGCTTACGAACTGGAATAGGATGCCTTTTGGTGACAGACTGCAAGATTTCAGCCTCTTCAGTCTCTTAAAGAGATGGCTGTGGGCTGAGCTGATTTCTGGTTGGGAGTGAAAGTTTGATCATCCATGAGACAAAGGCAGGAGAGATCCCACAGCTGGAAGCTGTCATTAGCAGGCCTGCCCAGAGCAGAAGCAAGAGTTTCCAACAGTGATGGGCCAGTTTCCCTGGATTTCTCACAAATTCTTTGCCTCTGGTAATATTTAAATGAAAGATACAATCTAAATGAAACACAAGTCAGGGAAATCCACGCAGAGGGACTTCAGGGCTTGGTTCTGCCAAAGCTTTGGAGACCATACAAATTTAATTCACCACTATAAACAGTTACTTCCTATAAACTCTCAGGCACACCGGTTACTAATTTATGCTTGAAAACATTATGTCTGCTACAGTCATCTATTCTTTTCCCACCCTTGTGAATCAAGTCTTTAATTCAATACCAACCACTCAAGAAATGATGTGGGGGGAACAGTAACATACCTGGCTTAGGTGGCAAAGAATCCAAAAGGATTTATGTTTAAGATGCAGCTCAGATAGGGTCATGCACTAGTAGGAATGGAAGAGGCTTGTTATAAAACACTTATTTTAGCTTCAAACATGTGGAGTCAAATTCAGAGCTAGCATCACCACTAACTGGCTACTTGTCCTTTGTAACCTACAAGGCATCAGATTTATATAAAACTAAGGAGGTATTTTCAATTCTCTCACTTCTCTAAACACTGACCTTGTGCCAACCCATGACACCAATGCTTTAAGCTGGCTCTCCAGAGCAGATTCTGTCCCAGAGCTCATGATCTGCATAGGCATTTGCATCAACTGGTGGTGGAATTAGTGCAGTTTGGGCACTTGATAGCGTTCCCATCATGAAGGTTTATGTCCCATGCACCATGCCACATGGCTCTACAGGCAAAGCACAGCGTGCTTGGCCTTACAGATAAGGAATTAAATGAGGCATACAGACAAGGAACCACTGCTGTTTGCTCCTATTTTCTCACAGTCACAGCTCAAAGCCTGAATCTCTCCAATCCATGAGGAATGCAGAGCAATTGCACTGCCACAGGCACTCTTCTGTTCCTGGGGACTTGCTCTTTTCCTGTATGGAAAAGGAAGTCTGGAAGTTAAATGGGGACAGATCAAAGGAAGAAGTCAACACACACAACATTTTCTTCCACTTTCAGATCTCAGTCTGTGCAGTACACGAAACCGGGGAGGAAAACCTTTTCTCTTTCTGTTGTTTTCTCTGACATTGAAATCACATTTCACCCTGGCCTTACAGTGGGTTGCACTTGGGCCTCATTATAACTGAGCATGGACTATTGATTCAGGCTGCAGAGAGTAATCAGTCCTTTCCTATCAATAGCTTTGCCATCGCCATTTTCAAAATCACACACTTCTTCCTACTATAAAACACTGTTAAGATAATGTATTCTGTGGAAGTTGCAATTTTAAAAACAAATACAAAAAATGATTTCAAACCAAAATAATTAGTTTTAAAGACAACACTGATGATGAAACAGTCCCGGAAATCTTCCACTGATTGGGATTACCATAGCATTTCTACAAGAAAAAAAGGACAGTAAGGTGTTGGAATAATAATGCATAGTGGATACAGCTATATAGAGGTAACGCATTTTAAAATGTGTTTAGTAAAGGCTTAAAGAAACACCAAAAAGTTGCACCAGAGCTAACAATTCTCAGTCTAAAGTAATATATTTATATAAACTAAAATGATTTAATATTTGGGCAGATTCCCAGCAGGTGTATACTGTCATGGCTGCTGTGCATAACAGGCACCTATAACATTAACTGATTCTCTACTTGCCTCTACCAGCGGATGTCTTTCAGTCCCCAGCCTTTACAGTGAGGTGAGTGGAATAGAAATCTGTGCATTAGAATATATTAAAGTCAATCCTTATGTTTCGTCCAGCAATTGTAATCAATTTCAGTATTTTTTTTTCTGCTCTGATTGCAAATGCTCTTGAAGTCAGGGTCTGCTCTGTCTGTACAATGCAGTGTTAGAGAAATTGTGGACTTTTAATGTCCAGAAAAAAAAATATCTAAATTCTTCCCCACAATGATATCATTTTGTATTATATTGTTTTCTGTTTGCAGTGACAGCCAAAACAGTGACATAAAAAGGCACCTTAACTAGCAGATCTGCTTCCTGTGTCTTTGAGTCATATTCTCCAACTGTACTGGCAAAAACAAGTTTTTACAGCTGCTAGCACTGTGGCCAGTACAGCCCAAAGCACAAGTCACAGCCTATTCTGGATAACAGACAAACATCGTCAGCTAAGTCCCACTTACGAAATCACTATCGCTAGCAATAGCACAAGAATCAGAAAGTGTAATTCTGTCATCATACTGTTTTCTGAGTATTCAGAGCGTTTAGATAGGAAAAAGTCACCTTCCGATTTGTGCATGCGGCTTAAGTAGCACCTGATAACATTGCAGAATATTTACGGGTAACAAAGAAATGGGAAACCTATGTAACCAGTTTCTTTACTATGGCCAAATTTCTAAGAAGAAAATGAATACACTTGAAACTCATTTGTTTAAGTGGGAGAAACAGAATATAGCAACAAAGAAATATAATAGACAGTAGCTGCTATGCAGTTTGTCATTCCCTGTGCAAGCTTTGCTACACAGAAAAAAAACCCAGCACGAATCAATATTGCCATTTATTGGCAATAAAACAGCAAAATCAGCTGTTGTTATTTTTGTGCTCTCAATAATTTCTTCTGAAGTTCTTAGCTCAAAATCACTTTGCCAGTCAGAAACGTGACTCTGAAAGACACAAACACTCCTGCCTCACAATTCGCCTTTGCCTGCACCCTTTCCCAGCCTCTTTTAATTTGGACTGTATTAAATGTGGGCTTTATTGAGGGTAATAGTGGAACTCCTGTTGTGTCAACTAACCTAGGATTTTTACTTAACTATCCACGAGATTCTATCTGAGTGACTGCTGCTTCCATGGAACAGCAATACAAGTATGTGTAACACAATGCTTAGTTTACTTCAATACCTCTTCACACCCGTGCACAGGACTTTCCCAGATCTCAGCTTTGCCAGGGCTTGGGACAGGCAAACCCATAGATGCAAACAGCACTACTGTGCCCGGTGTGCTGAGCATCGCTACCCGTCTCCAACGTCTGCAGTTCAACCTTCTCATGCTGTCAGGAGTGCTCTCATCATTGCAGGGTGAGAGCATAAGTCAATTACAGTTTTCTACAAACACATTGTAAGGAACATATCTCACTGGCAACAGAAAAGAAAGAGATGAAGCAGCAGCCCTGTGGCAAAAGCAGAGAGCCAGGAGATCCGGATACTTTTCCTGGCTTTGCTTCAGACTTTGTGATTGACCTTGGCAAGCCAGATAGAGGCAAATCCCATTCCCTTCTCCATGCAAAGGATCCTGCCTGCTACTCAGAGAGAGTGGCTCACGTACTACCTGAGCATATACACACCTGGGGAGATGTATGTATGCACAGAAATATGGATCACTTGCACAACAGGTGAGTATTTGAATCCAAAATTCCTGTTGTTGACACAGAGCAAGGCATTAGCTTAATTTGAGAGCGAGGAAGGAAGATAAAACACCATGCAAGTCCATTGGTTTCCCTCTGCAAGTCAGGTGTTGCAAAGCATCTTGTAGTCCTGATGATAAAGTAACAGATGAACTTACTTACTGGGTGGTGTTCAAAGTCTATCCTTGTTCATGTCTCTAAAAGCGAAGCAAATACTACTTACACTGTACAATACAGTTCAAGGCATGAAGTTTGTCAGATAAACTACACTTTAGAAAGTTTATCTCACTTTCTAGGCTAGATCTAGGCTGCCAGATCCCCTGAGATGCCAAGTTTCTCCAAACCCCACCAATTCTAGCATTTTTTTCCTACAGAGGTTCGTATTATTTGTAATAGATTTGTTTCTAGAACACCTGTATACTGAATATACACAAATTACTTCTCTTTCTTGCTTTTAATTCCTAACGAGATCTTACACCTATACCATCTTCCTTCTACACTTAAAAATGATTGTGCAGAGTAACTACTGGATATATTAAGAGTGTTTTGATACTCCTGGGTTCCACCCTCCTCCACCAAATCAAACAGGCAACCAGCTGTTACGAAAACGCAGTGCTGTAACACGGTACGGGCGCCTGCCTGCACCAGGTGAGCTCTGACAGCACCAGCCCCAGCCCCCGAACGACGAGCGAGCTCCTTTCTCTACCACACACCATCCCCTGGGGTAGCGAAGTCAAGAAGAGGGAGGACATGCTTTGACAGAAGACGACCTCAGCGCCGCACCCTGACCACCGTTGTACAGCAGACTCGTTTCTGGGCTGCGTGCAAGTGTTCCTGCTGCTGGCTGTGAGCGGGCAGCAAGGTCTGTCCCGTGTCCTTTCTCTACAGATGCTGCCATTTCTCTAACTGCTCGCAGCGGCTTCACCCCCGGTGCCCCACGGTGCTCCGCAGCACCCGACCTCCCTGCCCCAGCTCACATCGTTTCTCCCCTCATTCCCTGCCCGGCCGCACTAGGGGTCTCGTCATTCCCCAAGGCCTGTCTAGGAGACACCCTACACACCCTAATCCCCCCCTTCATGCCGCGCCAGGCTCCTCCGGGAGCCGAAGGACAACCGAGCCAGCCCTGCGCAGCGCCAGGCGGAGCCCCGGGGACGGCAGGTGTCCCGCCGACCCACCCCCGGGGGCCGGCGCTGGGGAGGGATCGCCACAAGAAGAGCAGCTCTACATGCCCCGCCGCTGCCAGCCCCACGCCCTGCCCCGGCGCGGCCTCTGGCAACTACCCGCCGGCGCCGGCCTCCGCGGCGCGGCCCCTTCCGGTTCACGTCGGAGCTAGCCTCGCGCGGAGGAAGCCGGGCGGCCATCTTGGCTCGTCCGGGAGCGGCGGAGGGGCGGGGGGCAGGCAGGCAAGCGTAACGGGCGGGTACCCAGCTTCCCCAGCTCTGCCGCGGCCCGCGGGGTGCCGGCCTTTCGGAGACTGGGGCGGGCGGGTAGAGACGGGCCGGGATGCGACCGGCTGCCCGGTGAAGAGGGGCTGCGGCGGGGGAAGGAGAGGGGAGTCCCTTCGGCGGCGGGCCTGCGCTGGCCGCCGTGCCCCGGGCCGCAGCTTAGAGGGGCCGGCGACAGAAGCCGGGCTGCGCAGGGGAGCCCTGCCGCCTCCTCCTTCCCGCCCGCCCTGCGTTTCCCTCTGCCGCGCACTCGCCGCCTCCCTTCCCCTGGCTCCATCCGTTCCCGGTTGATGAGGTGCTCCCCTCTGCTGACCCCGCGGACCCCGGCCTGGCTGTAGGATGAGCTTGGAGGGGGCGAGGCCGCTCTGCTCCCCGAGGAGGATCTAACTCGGGCGTGAGGCGCCGCCAAAGGGTGGGGGGCACCGACGCGACGCCGCCCCCCGCCAGCCACCTCGTCCTTCATGGTGGCTCCCTGCGACCACCATCTCCGAGCAGAGGCGCAGCCTGGCCCTCGGGGCCCGTGTGTGTCTGTACGCGCCGCCTTCGCGACCGCCCGAGTGAAGTAAAATGTCCACTCGGACTCCATTGCCCACGGTGAACGAGCGCGACACCGAGAACGTGAGTACCGCCGGCCGCGGGGGGACCGGCCCGGGCACCTTCCCCGGGGGGCGACGGGACTCGGCCAGCCAGGGGCATCGCCCTGCCGAGGGCTGACATTAACCTCTTGCCGCTTGGGCTGTTCCCAAATAACCGGTTTATTTAAAATTATTTTTAAACACCCTCCCCCACAGCACGGTTCGCCGATTTAGCATTTGTGAGCATCCCTCCCCCAACCCGGTGTCCCCTCTCTGAGGCTTTATTCGAGTGTATCTCGGTGGCGAGGATCGGATTTGTTATGTTGGTAACGGGAAGAGAAGATCCGCAGTGGGGAGGGGGGTCCCGGTTGGTTGCTGTCTTAAAATACGCCGACTTGCTGCTGAAAGCTGCCGAATAAACCTCTGGTAAACAGAAGGTAATAATTCAGCTTTGGTAGGGTGGGCTAGGTGACCTAGATAATGGGCCTCTTCCCTGCTTAATTTGCAGGGTTCTCGTTGATAATGACGCTGTTAGGCTAGTCACCTGTTCAGATGACATTAAAAGGGTTTCTTTATTGGAACTATTCTTCAGACAAGGGGATCTGTTTACCCCCACACCCCCTCCCCCTTTTTTTTTTTTTCCTTAACAAAGCCAGGGTTTAGGAATTGACACTTTATTCACAAGATTGAGTCAAACACTGTATTAATAATCACACAGGTCGCATGCTGAAGGAAGGGGAAAAACAAAAGCAGAGAGCCTCAAACGAAGCTCAGTAGGAGACTCCCTTTCTGCAGATAGGAAACGTATTTCTTCTAAGTTAGAACTTACTTGATCCCTATGTATGCTGTCCAGCCATTTTTCTGCATAGGCTCTCACATGTTCCCAAATGATAAAACAGAAGGGAGTTGTCACTCACTGTAGTCTAAAATGAGTTGATCAGTGAACTTTGTATTCAGCTTTCTGTAGAGTTTATCTGATATTCTTTAGGAGGCAGATGCTAAACTTGATGGAGGAGGCTTTTTTTTACGAGGGCTTGTTATGTTTTGGACTGGCATAAAAAGTGGAAACCTTGGTTAAATATCAGGAAAAACTGTTGGATTGTTCCTGACCATAAATAGTCTGAGAAAAGTGATGGTAGCCCCATTGTTTAAAACAAGACCAGACAAAGCGTTAGGAAACATGCTGCATGGAACAATTACTGCATTACTAGGGATTTAGATTTTATTGACATAATAGGCACTTCGAACTTCTGTGATCTTTAGTTGTTTTAGCACTAGATGCAACCTGCAGGCTAAAGGCTCTATTGAGTAAAAAGCTAACTAAGCATATTTGGTTGTAAAATCTCAATGAGCTTCCTGCCTTGTGGAAGAAAATAATTAAAATATTATGCAGCCCTTCCTATGCCATAGGGAGGAGTTGAAGTTGTAGCATATACTACAAAATACTATACACAGTTTATCTGGATAATTGTTCTGGTCTGTAAGCAGACCTGACTGAGGTTTTCAAGCTCCATGTATATGTGTAGAGGCCACCTAGTAAATCATTTTAGAAAACATTCAGATAAGGTTCTCTAATTAATCCAAACTCTACCCTGGATAACGGGGGAAAGACTGAGTATGTGCTCAAGGAAATACATTATTCACAAGCTGTGTGTTCTAGCACTTGAAGTTAGATTTTTTTTTTTACATGTCTTCCACTTAAGGCACATTATTCTCACTTCAAAATACTGGTCTAACACTTCTCTTTTGTAGTCTTTATAATTTAACATACATGGATTGTCATGCTTGCAGATGAATTGCCTTAGGTTTAGGTTAAGGCATATTTTTCGGTTGCTGTAATCTGGGTTGGTGACCACAGAAATACCTGTAGGTAGTGATATTGACAGGGAGTGATTAATTGAGTACTCGCCCAGTCCATTGAGCCAACCCCTCCTCCCCCCGCCCCCCATACAATATCATATCCTTCAGGAAGCTGTCTCTGATATTCTGGCTATCTAGAAATTCACCAAAACATGTTCTCTTCAGCCTTGCTTAAAACTAAATTTAAATCTGACGTTTAGTCTCTCTGAATTACCCCTACAGCTGTGAATGCCAGGTCTCTTTTTTTTTAAAATACCAAATGTAACAATTTTCATACTTTAGTTAACTGTTCTGCACCCCAGAGATCAATGGGTGTATTGTGTTGACAGGTAAATTGAGCTCTTGATTCTCTTTCACCTGAGAGAAGTCTAATTAGTTGATATTCATAGTACTCTCTGAAGCTTTGGTGGGAGGAGGCTTAAGAGGTGCCAAGGTATTTGGGCCATGGTTGTGGACCCCTTTTGTGCCTTCTCTCTGCTTGGAAGGTTACCACTGCTGACAAAGGCTTGGCTGATGTTGAATCTGGTTGAAGCATGCTGATCATAGCTTATCCATGCCTATACTTGCAGTTTTGAAAACGAAGTTAGCCTCCAGAATGACAGTGAGCATAAACTATCATTGTCTGTGCTTGCAGTTAACCACGTTCAGTGGTTGGCAGCTCCTGTTGAACAGGGAAGGTCTAATTGCCAGTACCTGATTGTTTAAGGCAGTGTATACCACTTCTAACTGAGACATGTACTGCTGAAGTGGAAATACTGTTGCCGTGACTTTCCCCAAAAGCCACTCACAGCTCTCAAGCTTTCAGTGCCTTTGAGATTAAAAAATCTGGCTCTGAGTCACCTGGTTTTGAGAGCAAAGGCATCCTAGATGATCTGTGATCATAGGAACTTCACACTTGGACAGTTGGAAGCTGGCTGTTGGCCTGTGATGAGCTGCTTCTCACTGGAGAGATTGAGCAGCTCTTCTCTGGCCACATCTTGTGTAGCAATGGCTGCCAGCTGCATAGGGGACAGAAGTGAATGAGGGGATCAGATCTTTTCTGTCTTAATCAAAATTATGTCCTGCCTGTGGGAGAAAAAGCAACAGAAGCAGTAGAAACCTCCTTTATCCAAAACTGGGGGACGAAGTAGAAACAGAAGGATCTTTAGGTGGCAGAAGGAGTAAACCTGTTTACTAGTGATGAGGAGGGAGGAGTGTGGAAACATAATGGGAAAATAAGATAGATGGTAGGAAATCAAAGATAATGGGCATATAGCAGGATGGAGGACAACCAGTGGCAAAGAAATAGGAGCAGGAGGAACAAGAACAAGATTGTGGGGAATAAGACAAATATTCATTAAAAAGAGTTCCCAAAGAGTGGGAAGATGAAGATGGAAACAAGGAAATACAGGTGGTATGGAGGCTGGTAGGCTTTTTTAAGGTTTTTATAGAAAAAAAAAAATCTTTGGACAGTTTAATTTACACCTGTTCATTGCACAGGTGTTGGGGTTTTTTGGGGGAGGGAAAAAGATAAGTGTTTAGAATGTGTTGTACTGCAGGC